AAATCTATAGCTCGTAATCCATGGAGCATATCGTTGCCATAAAAGAGGCCAAAAACTACTTGAGGGCCAACTAGGAACCACAAACGTTGCTTGGAWATTGAAACTAGACATGAACTTAAGAACTTTTGCAATGATGTTAACTGGAGGGACAACTAGGCAATTTTCACCCTCCCATGATTGGAAAAAGGCATCTACTCCGGAAGTCCCAGGGTTCCAGAAACGCGAGTAGAAGCGATTAACCTTGGCGTTATAAAAAGACGCAAAGCAGTCGAGAGTGTGGGGACCCCATAAAGCGTCCAGAAAAMTGAAACATTCGTCTGACAATTGCCAATCGTCACAGTATTGAATTTTACTGATAGAGTCTGCCTCCATATTAAGTTCCCTAGGGATCCATTGGATGTGAAGGTCAATATTGCTCTCAAAACAAAACGAAAAACCGTATAAGGCAAGTTCATGTAAAGAAATCTTCATGCTTCCAATATCTACTATTCTAGCAGTAGCCTGATTATCGATCCGTATACCATTTCACACACGAATCTCGCAACATGTGACCAAAAGCTTTCAAACTATAAGTTATAGCAATCAGTTCTCTGTGAGTGAAATTCAAACATTTCTCTTCGTTGTAAAGGGTCTATGAACAGTTTCACCTGAGACAATTATAGCGCCACAAGCCCTGTTGCTTGCATCTGAGTATACAACCTTATGGTATTTATTCACTAAGTTATTTCACATACTTTTTTACGGCGTTAAATTTATCTTTTTACATAACTGGTATTTATTCAAACTGAGCGACGTTCTTAGAATTTTTAAAAACTTGAAAGGTTAGATTTCCAAAAAATAATTTCTTTCCGACAATACTGGTCGAGGATAAAAGTCCCATCCCAAGAAGAGCTAGAGGCTATAGTAATTTGGCAAYGTCTAGTTATGATTCGAGCTAATCGCCCCAAAACAGCGCCCATAGAGATAATGGATCCGACGAATGTAGGAAGTTGGCGCGCTGAAGCCATCCCACGAGTCAATAAATTGTCGATGATTGAAAATGCTTTGATGATTCTTGCAGGCTTAACAGAGATGGAGCCATTAATAAAATCCCATGAAAGACCAGATGCTTTTTTCGTAATTGATAACAAAGCCTGCGGCATTTAAGTCGTCTTCCATGCATTGCGAGGCTTGTTGAGACAGTTTGAAAGAATTTTCAATAGCAAGACCATCGTCCAAATAGACGACACAATGGATTCCATTTCCTCTCCATAATTTAACTAATGGTTTCAAGAGTTTTGTAAAAATATATGGGGCGGTTGATAGACCAAAAGGTAGCACATTGAAATAAAAGTATCCAGTTTTTCCGTCGGGAAACGCCCACGAGAAAACCAGGAAAGTTCTATGCTGAGAAAAAATGTCAACATGATGATATCCGCTTTTCAAATCAAGATTAATGGCAAATCCTCCTTTAACAAAGTATTCCAATGAATACTTATAACCTTCATACTTAAACTTGTATTTTATAAGGTGTTGATTGATAATCCTGAGATCCAAAATGAGCCTCTTTTTGCCAGAAGGTTGGACAGAAACTGACAACGGATTGATGTTATTTAGATTGYCTTTAGAGGTCTCAGAAATACGCCCACCTTGTAAAAGTTCCAAAATAGCTTCGGTCACGAAACGCGAATGATCAATTGCAGAACAATTGTTTTCAACATGAGACTTGACAGGGGTGGTTAAAAAAGGAATCTTGTAACCTTCGAGAATAGTAGAAACAACGTAATCTGGGGCGCCAATTCTGCGCCAAAAATCAATATGATTGGGTAAACGACCGCGAACATTAGATGAGTCGGAATTCGAAGATATTTCCCCTTTAAATTTATCGTTTAGAGATTCTACCTTGATCAATGCATCGTGGTCTGACAATTCATCACTTTCCTGCTGAGCTTGTGGTTGCGGTGGGATTCCTGAAGTTGTGGCTGTCGTTATAGAGGGCGTTTTTTTCTTGGGAACGGGACTGCGTAATATTTGGAACCGCACTCAGGACTCCAGTGGCCCTTGCTTCCGCACTTGAAACAGATGTCGTTTTGACGAGAGTTTCTATAGCCTTTTTTCGTGTGAAACCGGATTGGAACATGAAAAAGAGAACACACAGCATTAGTTAATTAATAAGAGATTAAAAATAAATAAATGAAATAAATACAAGCTAAAAACAACTTTTGCGACTATTTAATAATTAACTAACCTAATATTCACCTTAAGAAATCCCAAAGGATGAAAACAAAATAAAATATGTTCATAATTACAAGGAGTTGAATGGAGCAAAGAACATGAACAATGAAATGAATAAGACAAGACGAATAATTAATGAGTATGAGAAGTCATTTCAAAACCTCCAACTCGGACTGGACGGGATTTCAAGTCCTTGCAATTAGTTCCAGTCTCGGCTGCGCCTCGGACTGGAACAAATTGCGCGGACTTGAAATCCCGTCCAGTCCTCATTGTCGGATTTGAAATATTACATCTAGTCCATACTTGTATTTAAGACACGAGAAGCTTGTCTTAGTTCATCACGAAGACCACTATCGGACTGACATTCGAAATGCTTCTTTTGGGGTCGCCGCCATCTTGACTCCTCGACACTCGTTTTCACCATCGTATCGCCATGTTCGCATCTCCATCAAGCCGTTCATCACTTGGCTTCCATCGGGACACCTTTGTCTGCAAAGGGACATCCTATGTTGTGGCGATGTAGAATCTCATCCTGGCCCCGTAGATCTGGAAATTTCTCGCCTTTCTAACCTGCACTATGGATATCAGCATGTCTCAAACCTTAGCCATTCCAGCAGCATCACACTCACGTCATCCAAGGCTGATATTTCTTCTCTCCCATTATCTCTTCACTGTTATTATCAGAACACTCAGAGTATCAGGCTAAAAAAGCTAAACACGTTTCGCGACGCTGTTTATGCAAATGATTTTGACTTAGTTGCTGTAACTGAATCTGGACAGTGACATTTCTGACACAGAAATCCTTTCATGGGACTACGACCTTCACCGCTGCGATCGTCACTTCGGCGAACACGGAGGCATACTTATTGCTTCTCGTAACAACCTTCGCTGTAATCCAGTGTATTTGGACTCAAGTAGTGAGGAGTTGGAATATGCCGCAATTGAAATCAACACCAACAACTGCGGTAAAGTTCTATTTGCAGTTTTCTATAGACAACCCGACTCTCGTATCTCATCGTTTCGCAGTTTCATCGATCTCCTCAACATTATCAAATACGAAAGGGTCATTTTATTGGGCGACTTCAATCTCCCGTCGGTCTGGATAGAAGGATCGTTTTTTTGTGTTTCTACTGAATCTGCTTTGTTTTCTTTCTGTCCAACTCTAGTGGGCAAGAACTTGTTCCAGTTGGTTGACAAGCCAACACGTGGAGACAATTACCTGTACTTATTACTAACATCTATTGTTGAAGGCGTTGGCAACATAAGCGTCGCTAATTGCAGGAGTGTTGCCGTTCCATCGGATCATTGCGCCGTGACCTTCGATCTGCATTTTTCGCCACGCTCTATCAACAAAAACACGCTACCGTCTTTCAATTTAAACAGAGCAGATTTTGCTGTCCTCAAGTCCTCTCTTTCTGCGGATCCGATTGACAATGTTCTCTCTCATGATCACGATCTCGATGAGGAACTGGTCGAACTGGAAGACTACGCTTTTAGCGCGTGTCAAGCAATTTATTCCTATTCGGAAACCTTGGAAATTTGTTACTCCTCCATGGATAGATGGCGAAGTCTTACAGATCTGTACTGTGGGACAAATTTCGGCGCCTGCGTCGCGAAGTTAAATATCTAGTTCGTACCAAGCGCCTTGCTTACCTACAGGACATCTCCGACTGCTGCTTCAGTAGCCCTGGTCGCTTCTGGTCCTACTTTAAAGGTTCGCAAAACACTCCTCTGTTCCAGAATCCGTCAAATATGAACAGTCGACCTATACAACACCTATCAACAAAGCGGAGGCCTTTAATCAGTGCTTCACCTCTGTCTTTAACTGTGATAAATCTTTGCCCGACGATCTGCCAGCTAGGCCTTTTACAGACAAAACTATCTCGTCTATTGTGATCACTTCAGAAGAGGTGTGCTTAGCGCCCCAAAGCCTAGATCCCAACAAGGCTCCAGGGCCTGACAGTCTACATCCTAAAATTTTGAAGGAATGTGCTGAAGAGCTCGCACCATCGCTGTGTTTTCTATTCAATATGTCCTTGCGCCTAGGGTTACTCCCCGATGATTGGAAACGCGCCAATGTAACACCTGTCTTCAAAAAAGTCGTCAAATCGGAAATCCCTAATTACAGGCCGATCTCACTGTTGTCTATTGTCAGCAAAGTGTGCGAGAGGTGTGTTCTAAACCATCTACTTCCAGGACTGTTCGAGCTTCTTTCTCCCCTCCAACATGGCTTCATGAGTGGCAGATCATGCGTGACTCAACTCTTGTCTGCCTTACATGAGCTTGAAGCTGCCCTCGACGCTGGTTTGGAAACGGACGTGATCTATTTAGACTTTTCCAAGGACTTTGATTCTGTGCCACACAAGAAGATTCTTCATAAGCTATCGCTATTTGGCATCACTGGTTCCTTACATCGTTGTTTCTCTGACTATCTACTATCTCGGTCACAAAGGGTCTTAGTCGATGGAGCATTTTCCCCATGGACTCGCGTCGAATCTGGAGTACCACAAGGCAGTTTGCTTGGACCCTTCCTATTCCTTCTTTATGTGAACGATTTGCCGGATATAGTGCGCCCTGGATCAAGCATTGCACTTTTTGCAGATGACGCCAAATGCTCGCGCCCGATCAGCAATCCAGCCGATTACCACCTTCTGCAACTGGACTTAGACCAACTCTATAACTGGTCTATGACTTGGGGTCTTTCGTTTAACATTAAGAAATGTGAAATCTTAAGAATTTCTAGAAAGCGTATTAGCCSGGCGCCCTCTCTTGCAGTCAGTCCTTATACTCTTCGCGGCAGCGCACTCACTGTTGCCTCTTCACAGAAAAATCTTGGAGTCACAGTGAGCTGCACTCTTAAATGGGGCTCACATGTTAGTATCGTCGTGGCAAATGAAAATCGGACGCTTGGCTTTTTACGCCGGCATTGCACGCAGTTAGGTACTGACCTAAAGAGGTTGTTATACTTTGCTTTTGTAAGATCTAAGCTAGGTTATGCTAGTGAGGTTTGGGCACCTCAGTCATGTATCTCGGATCTTCGGCTTTGCGATGGGGTGCAGCGACGCGCGACTCGTTTTATTCTATCCTGCAGTTTCAATCAAGAATTACGGCCGCGCTACAAGTCAAGCCTGTTCACCCTCTGCATGCTCCCAGTGTCCTATTGGTTCTAAGTGAAAGATCTTTGTTTTTTATACAAAGCACTAGCCGGTGAATCTCACCTCTCTGATGACCTAATTAGTATAAATCGCGGCAGGACAAGGAGTGCCTCGACAGCAATCAACCTTCGTCCTAGGCGCTTCAAGACCACCCTTTTTCGCGATTCCTTAATTTTTCAACAGAATTATACCATTATGGAACAATCTACCTCTAAATGTCAAATTATCACCTTCCCTTCCAGTTTTCAAAAAAGAAATTTTAAACATGTACTATTCTAAACTTGAATCAGACTTTGACCCCGATAGGGTGAGGACATGGAAATCTGGACATCTGCCCAAATTGCAGATCCTTTCGAATGAACTGCTGTTAGACTTTACCCACTATTTCGTTCTATGTTTAATGAAATGTCAATTTGTAAATTGTCTTGTTTTGGGGGGAGCCTTGACGGGACCTCGTGTCCGTTCGCTCTCCCCTCGTCACGTTACTGGCCTCTTGCTTTTGTTTTTGTAAATCTAGTAGCGTGACGGAAATCTCTAAATAAATAAAGTAAATAAACATTCTAGTAAACAAACTCACTCTCTTCGACCTTCCATCACAAAAAACATCGCGAACAACGTGTAAAGCTTGGAGGTRATTGTATTTCAGAATGGGGTGAAGTACGTGCTGATGTCCCCCAAGGGACAAAGCTAGGAGTACGACTTTTTCTCATGATGATAAATGACTTATGTGTTCCAGGGGTAAAAATCTGGAAGTACGTCGACGATGTTACCATGTCTGAATCTCTCGAAAAACATCAAGTAGCATACAAGAAATGATAAAAAAATGGTTGAAAATGCAAAATTACAGCTAAGGCGCTTTACACTTGTACCTCTAATCAAAGGCTATAAAATTTCAAATTCATAATTGTAAGTTAAAGTTTGATTAGAAGATGTTTTAACATTAAAATAAGCGCTAAAAAGTTCGAATAATTCGATTAAAAAAATTAGAAAAATATAAATGAAAATTATATTATGGACCCCTGTTCGTGTTAGGTGCTTCTATTCGCTTGTTAGGGGCAGATATACGCTTATGCCATATATGAAATATGTACTACAAACCCGCCTCAAAAACAATGGCTCTGGAAAACATGAAAAATTCTCGCTGTCTGATTTGCTCATAAAATAAACACACTTGCCGCCGGAAGTGAAAATATCACCGAGAAAAACACTCAAATCATTCTGCATTTCGCTACCTCACCTTGAATTTTTTTCCTTTAAAAGCATTTGTTAAGTCTTCGGAGTGGGCATTTAAGAGTAATATGAACAATTAAAGTATAAAATGGAATGCATCGAGTCGACGAACTGTTGCCATGATAAACGCTAACCGTCACTCAGTCACTGTTGCTCATGAAATACTTTCACTACATTCCTCACATAGTAATAATGATTGTCGCAAAAACCAACGAAATGCGGCTCATTAACCAATTGGGCACTTATAATCCCCATGGGTTGAATGAACGCTTTTTTTTTCAGATAGCTTGTTTATCTTTTGTTCCCTTTTTAGCACCTTTATTGTTCTTTTGTCTTACACTTCCTTTGCTTTTTTGTTTATTTCACGTTACCATGCCTACTTTGCTCCTATTGGTCTATTTTCCTTCCTACTCCTACTATATAAACTCACCCTTTACCTATTTTCATCACTTTTACTCCGACGAAGGATTAACGTCCGAAACGTCAGTAAGTTATTTCACATACTTTTTTACGGTGTTAAATTTATCTTTTTACATAAATGTTTCTTTAGAAACACCGAYGCAGCTCACACTAGTTTACCGCTAGTTCCCACCATTAATAATAATAATAATATAAGTCTTTATTCATTCGTTAAAAATACATAACAAATGTTACAATTGCTATAATAAAAAAAATTTTACATAGATATATAGAATCGCTGTGTCTATATGGCCGGTTACCGGTCAAGGTCTTGAAAATGCTAAATGGCCGGCAGCCCATAAAATGTGTTTTTTCCCTCTCTAATTATCTAAACGAGCTTCCAAACTCCAAAATAAAACTCTACGAGTAAAATGAGTGTGTTAAAACTTACTTAAACGTCGCGCCGAAATTCGTTGCACTTAGAGACATTGTGCGAACTCGAACCGACTGCCGGTCACGCAACAACGAAATCCTAAATGGCCGGCAGCCCATACAATAACAGATTTCTCTTTTATTATTCTTATTTAAAGAGTTAAAACAACATAATCAACATTTCTGAAACTTTCATGGTACTGTA